TCCCCAGTTCAAGAAAGATGAGGAGCTACTGGAGAGAGTCCAGTGGAGGGCTACGAGGATGATGAGGGGACTGGAGCATCTCCCCTATGAGGAGAGGCTGAGGGAGCTGGGCTTGTTCAGCCTGGAGAAGAGAAGGCTGAGAGGGGACCTTAGAAATGCTTAAAATTAAGAGTGGGTGTCAGGAGGACGGGGCCAGACTCTTTCCAGTGGTGCCCAGCAACAGGACAAGGGGCAATGGGCACAAATTGAAGCATAGGAAGTTCTGTCTGAACATGAGGAAGAACTTCTTCCCTCTGAGGGTGACGGAGCCCTGGCCCAGGCTGCCCAGGGAGGTTGTGGAGTCTCCTTCTCTGGAGAAATTCAAACCCCGGCTGGACGCAGTCCTGTGCAGCCTGCTCTGGGTGACCCTGCTTGGGCAGGGGGTTGGACTGGGTGACCCACAGAGGTCCCTTCCAACCCCGAACATTCTGTGATTCTGTGAAAACGGCAGAAGCTATCGTTCTTCATGTAGTGTTCATTTTACGACACTCCTCGCGGTCCATTTGCTCACCATGGAGTCTGGCAAACACCAAAGCCAGCTCAAGGTAACAGGGGCTGGGCACCAAAGTGGCTGTGAGGAGGGCAGGAGCGTAGGCCTTTGCCCGCGGGGGTGGGAAGCTGTTCTCTCAAGTCAGCCCAAAGAACTGCAGAGCCCATTGGAAGCGTTGTAGAGCTCATGGGAGAGCACAGTCTAGGCTGGGAGAGATGGGGACTGACTCAGCCCAGAGACCTTCAGCCCTTGAACCTGGTTGAAATGTCTCATGTACTTTTCTTGAGGGGGTTGGGGAGCACATTTTTCCTCCTTTGGTGGTATCAATTCCAGCTGAGGTGAAATGTTGCCCTGCTGAGACATTGTGATAATGCTTTAGCTGTGGAACTTTCCACATTCGTGAAACTAAAATTTCGACGTTTTGGCACCAAAGAGTTTGGACAAAGTTCAGATACCATCTTCATGTTCAATTTATTATTATTTTTTTGCTTTTCTGTTTTCCCATTTTCGCATTCATATTAACATTAAGGCAATGTCCATTCTTTCTTTGAATGAGTCCACGTGTACATGTTAATAAGGAGCGTGCTTGGGCTCCACTTGTTGCTGGGACCCTTTCCATGCTACCACGACAGTTTTGCCCTTCTGCTCTTCCTGCTTGAGATCTGACAGAGAAGGTAGAGCAGGCCAGCTCTTCTCCACTACACCCCTTCGAACCACCGCAGGAAGAGACACAGTCGCTCAAGCAGAGCAGAAGGGCAGTTCTAGAGCGAAGGAGTCAGTGCTTGTGCTTCACCCTCCGGAGGTGGGCCCCTGGGTCCTGGGACTGGACTGTGTGTGCGATCGTGTATTCTTCCAGAATTTGTCTGCTCAGTCCTTTCAGACTTTCTCCTCCTGTCACCAGCGAAGATTCCATGTCCGTTCTGGCAGGTGTCCTGTAGCTGATGCGTTTTTGCGTGTTCTTTTCCTTGCAGAGGTAACAGACTCCGTCACCATGACGGTCAGTCCATGCTGATCATCATGGATGTGTAGTCTTCCACTGGGGATCTGTCCACTGCACGTTCATCCCGGTGAATGGTACCTCAGGGTCATCTCTCTCTACTTTGTCATGTGCCAAATTTCACCTCCCGTGTCTACATCTGTGACTGTAGATGGTGCGCTTACGTAGCCGTTAGCCTCTCACGTCATTGCCTTTATCCCAGCCACCAGAAAGGTTCATTCTGGACATGTTCCTCATGGCACAGGGAGCACACTCTGGCTCAAGGCATTTGGACTGCAGGGGTGTTGGTGGCTTTGAACTTGCCTTGCCAGATCACGTGGAAGATTTTCAGTCTACTCTCTGCACGGTCACGCACACATGGAATGATGGACAACTGTGTTGTAGCATGTAAAGAGGAAAAGAGGGGCTCTCCCTCCTTTGCGTTATCTGGAGCTTGTGTGGGTATGAAAGTCAGAAACATTTTGGTTGATTCGGTCTGAATTCCTTCCAAGAAAGAGGCAAACCTGACATAGACCTCTTTGCCACTCAGGCTAATGGGAATCTCAAATTTTTGTGAGTTGGCACATTTTGCTCGAAGGTGGGTCAGTGTTTGAAGTCCCTCTCCAGTGCATTTTTAATACTGTGGTTTTAGCTCCTACAGGCTTTCGCTCTTGTTCCATGTCTTCCGAAGGCCCTCATCATAAGATAAAAACCTACACAAGATGGACCTTGCTGATCTTAATTGACCAGAAGCTGGTTTAGTTCCAGGACTTTCTTCAAATATTCACGTTAAAATTGCATTTTAACCAGGGAATTAGACTCCAGTTTTTCTTTCCCATGCCGTACACTCTAAGACTATATACTTTTCATCTCCATAGTTGGGAGTCCTCTCTCCTTTTATCTTTACAGGTCCAAACCTGCTCAGCCCTGTGGCAGGCTCTTCATCCCTGGGAAATGCAGTGTTCAATTGCCTCTGCACAATAAAAGGCGATGGTGGGTTGGATCCTGACTTGCTATCAGATTGCAGTCTAAGGAGGGCTAGAGTGCCCCTGACCAGAGCTTAGGTGCCTTCACCCTCTGCAGTCAGGAAAGGTTTGATTCCAGATCCTTGCAATGCAGCTACCTGGAGATTCATCCTTGCCTTTGCCAGGCATAGCAAGAGCCAATGCAGCGTTTGGTAAAGTAGTTGTGCAGTTACTTCTTCCATGAAAGATACTGAGACCTCCACCACCTAATGAGTCACTGGGGGTAGCTGCTTGGATTCTGTCACTGTTGAGTGCACATGGGATTCGTTCAAAGAAAAAACGATGTCTTACCAGTAACCGGTGTTCTTCACGATGTGTAGTCCACATATACATTTGTCTTCCATCTGCTTCTCCTCTCTCCTCAGAGTCCTTCCAGGCATGAGTCCTGTGATTGAGAGGTAGAATTGTTAGAGTGTACATTTGGGCTACACTTCTCAAAGAGCATCGGTTACTGGTAAGTAACCTTTCTTTTAGTTTCAGATTGTTCTGAAAGCAGAGCTGAAAGAATCATCACCCTTTTGTATTTGCACTGCTTCTGTCCTGGGGTCAGAACTCAGTTACTGCTCTGAAGCTCACCCACGGAAGGCAGATGAAAAGTGCTCCTCAGATTACGTGATCCATTCAAGAAAAAAAGACTGGTCCCTGGCGTACCTTTTCTCTTTCTGTTTGGTTATTTAATTATACAATATTATTCATTGCCAAAGAGGTAATTACTTCTGGCTGTGTATATCCACAAGTGGTTTTGTGAACAATATGTTGATGGGTTAATATGAATCATGTGCTTTTAAACTTTCACACTCTAAAAACCCCGTTATTATCAATTTGCTGAGAGTCACCTTGGAGAACTGTCACAAATAGCAACCATCTCTGGGCGTGACCGACTGGCTGGTAACGCTGCTTGTTATGCTTGGCTTTCGACACGTTTTCACATGAAGTTTTCATGTTTCGGTTATTATTTGAAAATTCTTTCTGAACGTCACCAAAGCGTAATGTGTGCGTTGATGAATCTAGAAGGTATTCACCTAGGGGTTGGATGAGCTCTTCGTACGTTGTGTTACTCAAACTAGTAATCAGTGGAAACTCTTCCCATCCTCCGAGCTTGCTTACTTAGGGCATAACAAGACCAAAATTTTGTACCTGATACAAATGTGTAGTGAGTTATTTTACAAAACCGCGAGAAAAACAATTATTAGCAATAAAGAAAAGTTAAAATTATGTCTGTCGGTGGGCTTACAATAAAAGCAGAGACTACCTTCGCCCCATAACTCTCCTCAAATATCGACATTTTATATTTTTTAGACTTCAACAATATCAATGAAAGTTTCTTATCCTCTCTTGTGTTCCATGAAGAACATTCACTAGCTTACTCTTAAAGTATTTAGCCCTTAAAAACGTAACAAATTTTACAAAAGATGTGATCTAGGGTTAATAACGGAAGGGATTCTTCTGAATTCCTCATTCCAGAGTGGCACTGCCCTGGAGCTGCTTGGTGGTTCTGAAGTCGTGTGGTACAACGTGTGGTTTCGTGTTTGGGGGTCAGTTCAAAAAGTGTGCTCGCTTTGGTTTAGTTTGTTTTCATTCACCTGAGGAACTTCAGGGGAAAATTCTCCTCCTTTTTTATCCATAAGAAAATGTTTTCTCTGTGGAGATTACACACTATGAAAAGAACAGAAGCGTTTCTTGCTTTTCCAGGCTATTACTGTGGATAGTTGTTTTGCTGAAAAATCAGTTGATGCTTTAGGATTTACCTTACAAGGAAAATTTTTCTTCATAACTTTTAGACTTCTATGTTTACCAATGGCGTACATGATTTTACCTGTGGTTTAACCTGATTAATAAGAATATGGGTAATCTCTATAGCACTAAGAGATTTCTTTAACTTGGCCATCGCATTTTCAGCTCTTTTCACAAGTCGGTTCGAGCGGTGGCAAATTGAAGTTCTCGGTGCTTGAGCGGTTGCAGAGCAACGACGCTGCTGCTCACGCGGGAAGGCGCGTGCAGGGGCGGCTGCCGAGCGCTGGGGCCGGGGTGGGTGCGCACAGCACCGACCAGCAGCAAAACGGCCTCGCGCAAAGGTTGTTTATTCAGGCTGAGTAAAATACCATCCACAGCAAGAAGAAGTCATTTTGGTACGGCATAGTGTGCCTTTGAATTGTTAGTTATTTTTTGCCGTATTCCCTATTAACTATCTATGCACCAATTCAAGTTTCATCTAGTATTGTGAATATATTTTCCCTTAGATTTAGAAAAACAATTATATATGTATTCTTCCAAACTGTCTAGTGAGAAGTTTCAGCATTTAAGCACAAAAGCAAAGCTCGCTGTTGAATAGCACAGCCATAAACTTTACATTTCTTTGTGCCGATACCTGATCGCAGTCGTGCGTTGGGTCGGTGGAAGCAGTGCAGATTAATCACTTTGTTCCATGACAGATGAAGAATTTTCTCTTCATAGGAGGCCAGATCCTTTACTGAGGATGATGTGAGTGAGCTCTTTGAAATCAGCAGGGATGTGCTGAAGTATACAAATAGGATCTGGCCTGTAGTATGTAGAAAGTACTCAACCTACATCCGTGCATAACTGATACTTGAGATCCTTTGTAGCTGTGCTATACCCATATTTTAACTGATGAAGCTAGAAAAACATTGATGTGTTTAAGTTTCCTGGTTGAACTAGTGTAGTGTAAGTGACAGTGATCATGGGTCTTGTTTTGAAAGTGGGTGTGATGCAAAACCACTTGGTAGGAAATCCGTTGTTCATGACAGTCAGTGTTTGCATGTGCATGGTTAGTACAGGTGAAGGAGAAGGGTTCCTACGGCACACGATTTAAAAAGCAGTCTTCAACTTGCAAAACCAAATTGCAGTTAGAAAAAGAGCCTGAGGCTTATCTTGGTTAAAGTTTTCAAAAAACAGTAATGATTTTGGGTGCCTCCATTCTTTGATCTCTAATTTGAGATTTTTTCGTATCAAAAACTCCTTAAAATTGATCCTTTTCAGATGTTTAAAAATAGGTATCCAGGCTTATTGGCAAAGAAGGATTAAAAATAAAGAATTCTGTGTTTTGTTTGACTATGGGAATGGGAAACCAGCTTGGAGATCCCCTTGCCACTCATCATCTCTGCAGCATGCTTACCAAAGTCGCTTCTCCCTTTGATACACACTTCTCAACTGGCGTGTATTGGAAAGGTCACCAGTAGCCCTCCCCAGACCGAGCCTTCTGTGTAGTTTCAAAACTTACCTTACAGGTACTGAATCCTAAAGTGGAAAGGAACAAAGGTATCGCTGGCAAAGCAAAAGTTCTTTTATACAGAAAAAAAGCTCTGAATCAAACACCTGGATAAACACTATTTAAGAATCTTCATGTTCGCTGTTAAAGCTTAAACTTGTAACCGTAGTTTATAAAGAAAGTGACATACTGCACTGTTCCCGCTGCACTATTCGTTCTGTGGTGCCAGGAATGCAAACTAAATTTCCTGTAGTGTAGGCACCCCGTACTTTTTTATGGCCTGAATTCCTGGTTGAAAAGCGCACACCCCTGCGGCACCGCTCTGATCTGTGCGGGCGCGTAACTGGGGGTTGTGTCGTAGCACCCCGTGTATGTCTGTGCGCTCCTGCCAGTTCATTTCACTTTTATGGAGAAGTCACTTTGAGTATAAGGCATTCTTTTTAATGTCTTGCAAATGCGTTGCTTGAAGTACGCATGGCTTTCTGAAATAAGGTGGTTTTTAATGGGAATGACTTTGTGGCAAAACCACATCTGAAGTAATTCCGTAATGGAGGGACTGTCAAAGCGCTGCGTAGAGGCCGTGGTGCAAACGCCTGCGAGGTGCTGCTGTCCCAGGAACGCAGGTCGATGTCTAACGTGAAGACGGCAGGAGCGTTGGTGGGGGTTTGCTGCCCGAGGGACGGAGGGTTCTCCCGATGACGCCGTGCGGGTGCGGTGCCGGCCAGCGGATTGCCTGTCCCTGTCTGCGTGTGGGTGACCGTGAGAGCCGTTCTTTCCACGGGACGGGGTGGTCTGGCCCTCTCAGAAAAGGGCTTTCCTCTTCTCGTTTTGTTCAGTCACGTTTAGCTGTTGTGCGTGTAGAAGGCACGTCGGTCGGTCCTTCCTCCAGCTCCTTCACCTTCTGTACCGCAGAGATGGGACACTCGTGTGCGGCTAGGACAGCCCTCGCGTGGTGGTACCGGCTGAGAACAAAAAATAACACGTGGGGAAAACACGAATGGAGTTCCCACAAGTATCTAGTCATCGTTTCCCCACTCCTACATTCGGGTCACTTTTAGGAAATGCGTTTACATGTATAATTAAAATGCCATTTTTTCACTGTTTCATTTAACTTTGACATTTAGGTTCACTATGAATATGTGTATTATTTTAATCTTTTTCCTAACATTTCTGCAAAAATGAATTTTCAGTAATCTTAAAGCATTTCTGTTCCAGAATTTAAATGTCCAATGAAACTATTTCCGTTAGCTATACTGGAAACTGTTAGGTCTTTCCTAGAAGTCTCCTGGGGAGCAGGATTTTGTCTGGTTTTGGTGTTATAAGCTGTAACTTCGGTTACATTATAGCCGAGGTAAAATATCGGTATCTCCTTGGTACCCCAAGGGTATGAAGTCAGTAGCTTTAGATTCCAAATGTCACTCTGGAGGTGGAATGTCCGTAATAAAATATTGTATTTTAGTAAAAAATGAGAGAAAATAAATATATGAAATTATAGCAATATCGGTATGATCAAGATAAAGAAGCTATGTATAAATCTTTAAGAGAAACCGTTGTGAAAATGGAGGATTCATGTTGTTCCAATATTATCATTTACAGACTGAAGAATTTACCATTCACTTTTACTAAGCTGAAAGAACTTGCAGCTTTGTGGCTTTCGGACAACCAGGTAACACCTTACAATATTCATATTTTCTTTAGTAAAGTACTAGGGGTCTTAGCAAGGGCCGTAAACGAAACCTGTAGTTTAATACGTGATTGTGGTAGAGTTTTAGAAGTGTTTGCTCCCAGTTCAGCTTTAAGCTTTCATACCGAGGTGTAGATTCTTCTGGCTGTCGTTTATTAACTCGGAAAGATCACCTTTGCAGGGCTGATTACTGGGATCCAGCCAAGCTTCTATATCCTTACAGAAGTAGTAAATAAAGGCCAAAAGTATGTTGTAAATAGAAATTCAAGAGGTAAGATTTTGTTGCCAAACTTGTTGCTGGTTTGTTCCATCCTTTACTCTGTGTATGCCTCCACTCTTGCCGTCTGCCTCTTCCTGCCCATGCTTCCATTTTAAACTCCATAGATGTCCATGGGAGTTTAAACATGCACAAGATGCACAAGAACTCTTGTTTTGGGGAAAACTGTCGTCTAAGTTCCTTTTAAATTTGAGTATGCCTTTGTTTGTTCCAAGGGGGTTGGTTTCGTTACTGTATATTCTTTAGGATTCTATTTTAAAACAAATTATGTAGCATGAACACTGAGAAATGTAAGAGTTCAGCCGACATCTGAGCACTGAAATAAGTCTCTGTCCTTTCCAGGGCTGGTGGATAGAATCATTTTATGCTTCCATAATTAAACTCTTCCATAATTAAGCTTGCACGGGTGCCCGCTGACTGCGCAGCGCCGGGGAGGGACTGGGCAAACAACCTTAAAGCTGAAGGGAGGGGAGACGAAGGGAGAGGGATAATAGAGAACGGGGAGTAAATTTTGACGCGTTAAATCAGGATTCTCGTTTTTTTCACTCTGATTTCCATTGAAAAAATAGCTTTTTTTAAATGCTATTTAATTGTCATTGCATGACTTCTCAGCCCAGCCACGGAACATACCCTTCCTATTAAATATACAACATTTTTCAGCATTTTGACTTTCCTGCAGCATAGCACAGATTAATTTCCATTCTGTGAACTGTGACAGTCACTCCTAGATGCTAATTTGGAGCAAAGCAATAATAAAAAACAATCAGTCGAGGCAGAACATAGCAGAATCTGATGATTCAGAGTGCCTCCGTGTAAATTCTCCAGTGTCTTGCACCAGGGCTACCCCCAGATGGAGGAACAGCTGTGGTGAATTTCCTCCTCGCTAACCCTAACCGCAGACGGCTCACGGCCGTGGTGTGGGTGCTTGGACCGTGCAGTCGCTGCGCCGCTCCGCTGATCCCGGAGCTTCCTGACTGGTCCGACTGGGAGCATGCAGTCAGTACTGCTGATGCTTGGTGTTCTGGTGGGAATTATAGGAATTACAGGGAGGGGAGGTATTTCCACCAGAATAATACTTGGTTTAGTCCGTAGAGAAGTTTGTTTTCATCCAGAATTTTAGTTAATCTTATATTTTCTATTTCAAATGCTGAAATCCCACCTCAGCCCACGGGCTCCCAGTTACCCGCTGTTTGTTTTGCCCCCCCTGCGCAGTCCAAGGCTCTCATTCCGCTGCAGACCGAGGCGCACCCAGAAACAAAGCAGCGAGTGCTGACCAACTACATGTTTCCCCAGCAGCCCCGCGGCGACGAAGGTAAAACGCCGTCCGCAGTCCCCGCAAAGGCAGGAGCGGGGCTTGTTCAGATAGCGGAGGAGAAAACCACGCAGGGAGGGGGGGGAAGGGGGTGGCAGACGTGGTTTGGGGGGCGAGCGTCTCTTGTGGCACGTCAAGCCGGCGGTGCGCGTGTGACAGGCTGTGTTTTGGCATACACCAAGGAATCCTGTCTGCAGACCTGTTCTTCTAGCACAGGAAGTTCCGTCTGAACATGAGGAAGAACTTCTTCCCTCTGAGGGTGACGGAGCACTGGAACAGGCTGCCCAGGGAGGTTGTGGAGTCTCCTTCTCTGGAGATATTCAAGACCTGCCTGGACAAGATCCTGCTCTAGGTGACCCTGCCTCGGCAGGGGAGTTGGACTAGATGACCCAGAGAGGTCCCTTCCAGCCTCTAACATTCTGCAATTCTGTGAATGGGCACAAACTGAAGCATAGGAAGTTCCGTCTGAATATGAGGAAGAACTTCTTCCCTCTGAGAGTGACGGGGCCCTGGCCCAGGCTGCCCAGGGAGGCTGTGGAGTCTCCTTCTCTGGAGATATTCCAGCCCCGCCTGCACAAGGTCCTGTGCAGCCTGCTCTGGGTGACCCTGCTTGGGCAGGGGGTTGGGCTGGGTGACCCACAGAGGTCCCTGTCAACCCCGACCATTCTGTGATTCTGTGATTCACCACCCTCATTGTAAAGAATTTCTTCCTTATATCCAGCCTAAACCTACCCTGTTTTAGTTTCAGACCATTACCCCTCGTCCTGTCACTGCTGTCCCTACTAAAAAGATTGTCCCCATCTTTCCTGTCAGCTCCCTTCAAGCACTGAAAGTACTTACAGCCTGCTGTGCTAATTCCTCCTTCTTCTGTGTTGCTTTTTAAAATTTGGCTGTAGATTTCCAGTCGGACAGTGATAGTTTTAACCCCACTTTATGGGAGGAGCAGAGACAGCAGCGCATGACCGTTGCCTTCGAATTTGAAGAAAAAAAAGAGGAGGAGGAAAATCCCGGGAAAGTTAAGGTAAGTTCTCTTGGATTTATTCTGGCGTTCACATATTATGGACAGGGTCCAGTTTACAGATCTGGCGTCGAACTGTTTTGGTGTTCCGAACGCCCACGAAATACCCG